GTTAAAAGAAGGTGAGCGATATACATTGACTAGAAAGGTAGGTTAGGACCAGCTTGTGAAGGGTTTTAAATGCCCAGCAAAGGAGTTCATATTTGTCCCAAGAGTCAATAGGTAGTTTAGTGAACTGGAAAGGAACGTGGTCAGACTGGTGCTGTGGAAAATCACTGTGTCAGAATGTAGAGGATGTATGTAATGGGGGGAAACTTGAGGCAAAGAGATCAATAAGGCAATTGCAGCAATCCAAGTGAGAAGTAATGAGGGTCTGAATGGGGTGGAATGGGGGGGGCACACAGGGAGGGGAGCAGTGGCTATGTGGGTGGAGAGAACAGAATGGATGTGAAAGGACCAGATTTGACAACCTATTGGCTATGTGGAATAACTGAAAGTGAGGAGCAGAGGACAGCACAGAAGGTAGTGAAAATGACTGAGTAAAAGGGGGAGAGTCTCCTCAACAGAATTAGGAAGATTTGGAAGGGGATGAAACTGGGGGAAAGATGCTATAAGGAGCTATATGCCTGCCCATGCCTGTTCATACCATGTGACTCACTTGGTCCCGACCAAAATTGAAAAGGGCTAGCGGGGCTCTTACAGGCCAGTTGCTGCCCTCAGGTGCAGAGTCTATCTTCTAAGGGGCCTGCTCATCGACAAGGTGATCTGGGGGACAGGGAATGAAGATGTTACAGGGCGGGAAAGCATCAGATTTGCTCCCCAGCACCTCTGCAATCACTGCTGTGGGTGTCTAGGTCACATTTAGCTTATAACTGCTCCGAGGGGCCAACAAAGGTTGTGGAAGTGGAGATTATGAATTTGTACCAAAATGGCAGGGGAAAGTAGAAGAGAATTGGGGGATAATGGAAGAAAATTAGATATAGTTGTGTGGGAAATAAGCCCCACACATAGTTATTAAGGGGAGGATGCAATGTGATTCATCTTTCCACCTTCTGACTGATCAATCAGTCAGTGGCTAGAGTGCCAGGCCTGAAGTAAGGGAGACTCATCTTCCTGAGTTCAAATCTAGCTTTTGACACTTATTGCTGTGGGACCCTGGGCAAGTCACTTAACCATGTTTGCCTCAGTTTCCTCATCTGTAAAATGATCTGGAGAAGAAAATGGCAAACCAGTGTCTTTGCCAAAAAAAAAATGGCATTACTAAGAGTCAGACCTGACTGAAGCGACTGAACAGCAAAATGCCTCCTTCCCCCTGCTTCGGATACCATTGCTCCAAATGGTTTCCTGGGATTATGTTTGTGGGATATGTGGTCCTCATAGACTGGAGGACCTCTGTAGTCCATCCTAGCCTTTGTGCTTATTTTATCACCACTTCCTAAAGTCATCACAACCTCCTTTGAAATTGGGTCCCTTTATTGGCACAGACAAGATTAATTCTTAAGTTTCTAGCTTGTTACATTCTCATGTTTTATTCATAAACTCTTTAACTGAGGCATGTAACCTGTTCTTGCTCTCAAACTGATGCTGCTTAGGCCATGGCATGTTGCCCATAAATTATCCGAATGCCAGGCTCCTCAATTGGGTTTTCTTCTTCTCACTCTAATTTAATCATCATATTAATCACTCGAATATTTTCCTTCCACAAGGATGGTGATTAATGAGAGCTAAATTGTCTGTCAATTGCATATTTACCAAGGCATTTAAAATTATTCCAGATTTTAGAAAAAACACACATGTAAAAGCTAGAAATGCTAGGAGTCTATGATATCTCCTGAGTTATGGCAGCAGATGTGCTGGACTTTTCCTGGAAAGAAAAGCTCAGGCAATCACATCACTGCTTGTGAGTTTGATTTTACGAATTGCTGCCATTATTTACGGTTTGCTGAGCACCACTGGTGCATACCAATTCACAGGTTTGCCTCTGAGATCACTTACTTACTAAGGAAACATCAGGTCCAGGAGGATTTTATTCCCCTTATTAGTATCTATTCGAAAATGAATTCAGTGCACATAGACTAGGGGATGAGGACTAAAGAAGCTCTTTCAATCAACTAGGCTTCCCTCCCTATTACATTTAGAGACCTTTTCTTGGTTTTGAAGCGTCTTGTTGGTGTATATTAAAAATATGGGTGTTTTGTTTTAGGCCAGACATGATTTCACTGGAATTGGGAATTCCTGTTGAAAAACTCCCTCAACCAACTGAGATTGGCACCAGCTCAGCGGTTTCCTCTTGGAGAGCCTCCAGGGGCACTCAGAGGTTAAATGACCAGCCCTGGGTCACAAAGACAGTGTGTGCCAGAGGCTGGGCTTGATCTCTTGTCTGCTGGACAGCTGGTGGAGGCTCTTCATTCACTAGGCCAGGCTGCCTCTCAGACTACAAGGAGATGGTTATTTTTTGGGGGGGGGAAGTTTAAATAAGTAGGAAGTAGATCCACAGTTAAGCTATAACCCCATCTGAAAGGTGACCAGTCCCAGGAAGGTTGACTGATGAGCCCAGGGTGTCAGGTCTGATATTCAGAGATCACAAACTTGCCTATGAAAGAGAAAGGGGCTAATAGAGAAGCTATAATGGTTTGGCTGACCTCTTTCTACCTCCTAGTCACCCTTGTCTTTGCTGTTGCTTTTAAATTTTATTTATTTTATTCTAAACTTAAGAAATAAAACAAGCATTTCCATAATATAATAGAATAGAAAAAAATGACTGTGTATGAACCTGAAAATTGTTATTATGTACAATTTTCTATTCCTTTTGAATATACAATAAAATTATTATGTAATTTTCTTTTTTTCCCTTTTTTCTTCCCTTCTCCTTCCCACGCCCTAGAGATGGCTCCCATTAGACACAAATATGCGTGTGTATATATGTGTGTATGTGTATCTGTATATCTAAAACCATTCTATACATACTTCTATTTATCTGTTCTTTCTCTGGATTCAGATAGCATCTTCCTTCATATGACCTTTGTGGTTAATTTGGCTATTTATAATAGTTAAAATGACTTACTCAAAGTTGCTTTTTAAACAATGTTGCTATTACCATATACAAAATTCTCTTGGTTCGGCCCATTTCACTCTTCATTATTTCAGGCAAGTCTATCCGTGTTTTCCTAAGATCATTGAGCTCATCATTTCTTATAGCACAGTAGTATTCCATTATAATCATATACCACATCTTGTTCAGCCATTCCCCAATTGATGGGTATCCCTGTAATTTCAAGTTCTTTGCCACCACAAAGAGAGCTGCTGTAAATCTTTTAGAACATGTGGGTTCTTTTTTTTCCTTAATCATCTTAGGAAATAGACCTAGTAGTGGTATTGTTGGGTCAAAGGGTATAGGCAATTTAGTAACTCTTTGGGCATAATTCCAGATTGCTCTCCAAAATGGTGGATCAGTTCACAGTTCCACCAACAGTGAATTAGTGTCCCGATTTTTCCATATTCCCTCCAACATTTGTCTTTGAAATTGACGTAGAACCATAGTATATCAGAGCTACAAAGTACCTTAGAGACTATCTCTTCCAACTTCATTTTGAGGTGAGAACATTTAGTCTCAAAGAGGTAAATGATTCACTCAGAATCCCAGAGGTAATAAATAATGAAGCTTGGACTTGAATCTTGTTCTCCTAACTCTCACTTTACCATATTCCATTCACCATAGAAAAGAACAGCATGTTAGAACAGGAAGGGCTCTCAGAGATTATCTGGTGATTCTAGTCCAACGTTATTACAAGTATTATCTATCACTCTTTTACAGATAAGGATTGAGGGCTAGGGAAGCTAAATGGCTTTCCAAGATCCTACAGCTAGTAAATATCAGTAAAGACTCAAATACAAGCCTTCAGTTTCAGGTCCAGTGTTCTTTCCACCATGTAGTAATGCCTCTTTGGGTCCATATGCCAATGGGAAGGGAAAATAGCTTCAGGCTTTTAATAGGATCTAGCGTTTTCACCATAGAATTGTTTGATAGAAACTGTTTGGTTCTGCAGAGCTGCAGAATTTCAAAATTGAAAGGTATCTCAGTGGCCAGCTAATTCAAAGCAACCTCAGAGAAATCCCTGCAGAAGTGCAAAAGAGTCCAGATTTAGAAACTCCAAGGTGACTCAATCTTCCCTGACCTGAAGAACTAAAAATGAAGGAACAAGTTTGGAACATTGGTCATACCTAGCCCTTCTTGTTTTATCTTTTTTCATTGTAATATCCCTTAGGTTTTGAATTCAAGTAGAAATAGGCCTAAGTTTACAAAGAGCATGAGTTAGGTATCTCTGCCTATGCTCTACGTACACCAATGGTGGTGGGGTATTTGGAAAGGGTGTGTGCACGTGATGGTTGTTATCCTTCGCGCTTGAAGAAAACCAAAATAGCTTTTTGGGGTTAAGGTACAATGTGTCCTTCTGTGACTGATCGGACCAATACAAGGTCCAAAAGGTCAGGCACAAATAGTCCACGTGGACATTTGGAGTGGTAATGTCTCTAACTTTGTGCATCTCATATTTGTTCTGAGCTACTACAATTCTGCTTTGCTCATAAAGCACAGTGCCTTCTTTGATGTGGGCACACCATGCTGGGTGGTCCTGTGCCAGTGTCTGCAATATCTCATTCCATACTTCTTCATAGAGACCTTGAGAATGTCCTTGTATCACTTCCTGTGACCTCCATGTGAGTGCTTGCCTTGTGTGAGTTCTCCACAAAACAGTCTTTTATGCAAATGTATGTTTGGCATTCAAACAACATTGGCCAGCCTACCAGAGTTGCATTCTCTGCAGTAGAGCTTGGACACTTGGCAGTTTAGCTCAAGAAATGACCTCAGTGTCCAGTACCTTATCCTATCAGGTGATCTTCAGCTTCTTCCTAAGACAATTCAAGTGGAAATGATTCCTTTTCTTGGCATGAAGCTGGTATACTGTGCATGTTTCACAGGCATACAACAATGAGGTCGGAACAATGATACTGTAGACCTTTAGCTGGACAGGCAGCCTGATACCTCATCTCTCCCATACTTTCCTTTGGAGCCTCACAAAGACTGAGCTAGCTCTGGCAATGTGTGTGTCAACCTCTTCTTCTCTGTGGACATCCCTGGAAAGTATACTGCCAAGGTAAGAGAACTTATCCACAGCATTCAAAATTTCTACATTTGCTGTAATTAATGGAGTTCCACAGATAGATGATATGGTGTTGTTTGGTGGAGAACTTCTGTTTTCTTGGTGTTGATTGTCAGGCCAAAATTAGCATAAGCAGCAGAGAACAGATCCGTATTCTGTTGCATCTCAGCCTCAGAGGCTACGTTGAGTGTATAATCATCTTGCAAACAAAAAGTCACACACCAACTCTTCCTCCACTTTAGTCTTGTCTTACAGCCTTTTCAAATTAAATAATTTACCATCAGTGTGGTAGCTGACCTTGGTGTCATTTTTGTTCTCATTAAAGGAGTCTGACGACATTGCTGAAAACATCATGCTAAAAAGCATGGAAGCAAGCACACAGCCCTGCTTCTCTCCACTGATGACTCAGAAAGTACAAGAGCATAGTCCATTATCCAGAGCCCATGCAATCATGCCATGGTGGAACTGGCATATGATATTGATGAACTTCTCTGGGCAACCAAATTTTGCCAACCAAATATATATCTGTTATTAAAAAGACAATACAGGAAATATTTTCTAGGATTGGTTAGTCCACCAAATACATTTTATTCTTAAACGTTTTTTTTATTATGAACTTAACAAATACCAAAAAAAGAGGCAAGGGGAAGATGGCTTTCCATATACATAATAAACAGACAAAGAGAATTATATATGAAATTATACATCTCTATTATGTATAGTTTTCTTTTCTTTTTAAATGTTATAAATTCAACATGTGACTTTCAAAGTTGCCCTGTTTGTGATTCTGTCTGGTCTTCCTTTTCTTCTTTCCTTTGTACACTAAACATTTAATAAAAATATTTAAGGAAAATTACTTGTATAAAACCAAATTTTCTTACATTTTCAATGTATGGAACACTGTCTACCCCAGTTTCAATGTGTATATAAATGTCTTATAATTCCGCAGATTTCACCTCATAATTTATCATCAACTTGGCATACAACGGACAACATTAAAAAGCTTACTGAAAATTTAGACCATAGTTTAAGGAGCTGCTGAGCCCAACATCCTTATTTTTTGTGGGAAGACTGATATCAAACCTCCTGGTTCCCCTGTATCCCATTAGTTGCCAAGTCTTTCTGGTTCTTCCTTTGATCCATCTCTTGGATTCACTTAGCCTTCATTCCTGTTGGGTCAACCCAGTCTATATTATCTTTTCCTCATGCTTAGATTATTAACAAACTAGAATATTGCCCAGAGGACAACAAAAAGTTAGGTAAGAGGGCCTTAGGTTCATGCTGTTGTGAGGATTACTTGAAGGAGGTTTAGCCTGGAAAAGAAAAGACTTGGTGGGGCTATCATAGCTATACTCAAGAATTTGAAAGACTATGTATAAAACTTTTTCCCCTTATCCCTAGAAGGCAAAACCAGAAGCAGTAAGTGAAAGAATTTCAGTAGCCAGAAGTGGAATAGATTGGCTTGGGAGGCAGTAGTTTCTCCATGATGAAAAGTATTCAAGAAAAGTCTAAAAGGTTACTTCTAAGGTATGGAGTAGAGGGGATCTCTGGTTGGACCAGATGGCTTCTGAGGTCTCTGGCAACTTTGGGCTTCTGGAAATGGAGATGTTTACCTAGTCTATTATTTACTGGGTGGAGCTGATTACCAGGGAAATGTTAAGATAAAAAATCCCAGTGTCTTTCTTCAGTTACCAAAGCTTCCTACACATCTGTAAACAGGGACTTACAGATGTGCAGAGGGCTCACATAAATGCTCATGAGATGGAAACTACTGTGTTCTGACTTGGTGGAAATAATACATGTGGAAGCCAAGTCCAAATGCCAACAGATTGCCTTGGGATATGTTTTACAGCCAGGCAATGAACTCATTTGTTATTGGTGGAAAGGAAGAGCTTGTGCAGACCAGGCTCTTCTGTCTATGGGCCAGCAAAGGGGTTAACTCAGGCCTTGCCTCCTATTTAGGGGAGATAACAAGAAGAAACTTTGAAAAAAAATACCAACTCTAAAATTCAAATAAGTAGTAGGATTCATTTATTTGAATGATGGCTTCTAATCAGAATTCTCTCTTCAAGTATTTGAAGGATTGTAGCAAATAAGAGGCAATCGACTTATTCTGCCCCGAGGGCAGAACAAGGTCTAATGAGTAGAAGTTACAGGGAGTATGATTTCCAGTCAATAAAAGGGAACTTTTTCTAACAATTGGAGTTTTCCCAAAGTGGGATAGGCTGCCTAGAGGAACAGTGAGTTTCCTGGTCCAAGAGGTCTTCATGTGAAGACTGGATGGTAATTTATTTAGTGATTCCAGGGTGGGCCTGACTCAGGGCAGTCCCCTGGGAGTTTATGTCCAGTATTACAATGAAATGAGACACTCATAGGCAGTGGTGTGCTGGAACTAGCTTGTACCAGCTCTTAAGTATAAGGCGGTTATACCTTGGAATTAGAAAATGCTTCATATCAGGGCTTGACCCATTGTTTTCTTGATTGTCTAGTCTTAAGAAAGTAATAGAGAAAACGTTAATAATATAGATTTAACCTTTTTTTTTTAGAGGCAGTCAGGGTTAAGTGATTTGCTCATAATCACACAGCTAGTAAGTGTCTGAGGTAAGATTTGAACTCAGGTCCTCTTCCACTGCACCACCTAGCTACCCGTAGATTTAACTTTAAAGTGTGTTGTACATACAATTTTTTTTAGAGAGCCAGTTGTTAAACATCTTTCAATAACCTTTGCTTATATCTCCTTCAATAGTTAACAACAGCAGATTTATATAGCCATATCAGTAGAATATTCAACAAGGATAGGCATTGTGGACAGCCAAAGTTTATTTAGCTAAGAGAAACTCCCTTCATTGAGTTGCCCATTATTTTCCCACCAGTTAAGCATCAGAATGGTTTCTTCTAGAGTGCTTTGTCTAGCTATTTGCTATGTCTAGCACTCTAGAATGCTTTATGTCTGCTTTGTACTCAATGAGGAGGTGATCTTGAGCCAACTTGGTCCTTTGAGCCAACCATGTCTCCAAGATAGTCCCAGTACTAATTGAGGAAAAAGTAACCCAACTTGTATGAGGACCTTGGGTGAGGATATTGCTCCCAGTACATTGGAGATGTTGTAGAAGGGATTCCTACTTCAATCAGGGAAACTCTGTTGATTCTCTAGGTTTCTATAATTCTCACAAGGGGCATGGATCCTTTGCATTTGCTCACTCTAGAAAGGAAAGCAAAAGAAGCTCTGGCATGAGGATCCCAATTATGTAAGCTTCAGGGTGTGTGTAGTTCAAAGCTTCTATAAAGAACATTCTCTGAATGACTTGAGAAGAGGACTTGAAAGGCCAAGAGAGGAAGGACTGCTTGGGTTTGAATTTGCTTGAGAAGATCTATGTCCCAAAGCTGGCCTACTTTTGGATGTGGGACGCCAGAGAGATCTGCTTTATTCATCATGTTTTACTCCCATAAGGATTCTGGGTTCATCTGACAGTCAAGGGTAGAAAATGTAGTAGGGAAAAGACCAAGGTCAAAGGGAAATTTTTGGCATAATGGTTTTATTGTTGTTCAGTCATGCCCAACTCTTTGTGACACCATTTGGGGTTCTCTCGGCAAAGATACTAAAGTGGTTTGCCATTTCCTTCTCCAGCTCATTCTACAGATGAAAAAACTGAGGCAAACAGGGAAAAGTGACTTGCCCAGGATCATACAGCTAGTAAGTGTCTGAGGCCAGATTTGAACTCCAGAAGATGAGTTTTCCTGACTCTAGGCCTGATATTTTCACCACAGTCAGTGGTTCCTGCCACCAATACTCAATCTCCAAGAGCAATCAAGATGTGAGTCCATGAACACTACAGAAAGTGTCTTCCATGGAACTAAATTCATAGAATCTAAGAAGGTGGAAGGGAGCTTGGAGGGCATTAACCCCTACCCCTTCTTTATTGGATGCATGTAGTAAGATATTACACTTTGGGGACAGATTTAATTGTTAGAAAAGTATTGGTAGCACTGAGCTGAAACATGACACCTAACCTCTCCCCATTAGCCCAAATTCTCCCCTCAGGAGCTATGCAGAACAAGTCTAATTGGTGAGGTGACAGTTTTTTCTCCAGAGTTTGTTTCATCATTCTGACAAAGAACGCCAGGCTAAGGGACTATGTATGTCTATAAGAAGACTCTTCATTGTTCCTAGTGAGATATTGCATTATAATGGTGGATTGTAACTACTAAGATTGAAAATCAAGGCATAATTCATATTCATTTGGTTATTTATGTGAAGGGGGTTCTCAAAAGTCAAACTGTTTTATCTAGGAAAGTTTTGGTTCATGGCATCTTGGCAAGATACAACCAGCTTCTGTTCTCCATATAGGGCTAATCTATGGAAACAATGACCTTGTGTCACTCAGAGCTATTCTACAGAATGTTAGAGCTAGAAGAAATCTCCAAGATGAATTAGCCTAACGTCTGCATTTGCCAAGTGAGAGATTGTAGGGGCTAAGAGGCCACATAAGAGAGGATTGAAACTCAGTTTTTCTGGTTCATAGGCCAATATTATTTCCAACGAATCCGCTCCTGACTGTCTTTCCTCTGTTGGCTGGAAAGAGTAGGTGTCTTGGTAGACAGCTAAAAGTGAGGCAAGGATTGATGTCCTACTTTAAATACCAAAGTGAACATTCAAATAGGGGTTTAACATCCCAGGTGGTTCTGGGTAGCACCCTTTGACTTCTGTCATGACGGTGGCAGGTGGTAGGAATGGAGAAAAGAGAACAGTTTTTAGACTGTCAATGAACTTGAATTGTCTCTTGATAAAAACAAGACAAAGCAAAACAAACAAACAAACAGGAGTTTAAGTTGCTCAAATTATGACATGTCGTTAGAAAGTCAGTCCACTGAGTAAGTCCACCTCTCCATCCTTATTTCTATCTCTAGGTCTCTGTCTCTTTCTCCATCTGTGTCTCTGTCGCCATCTCTATGATTATTCTCTTTTGGCCTCCATTTCTGTTCAAAGCACAGAGATCTATGAAGCATATAGATAGTGACCTAGGTCCATAATTGACTAGTAGGCAGAATTCAAGCTGAATCACATTTGATAAATTGTGCATCGAATGATCCACACCTGGAAATCATGAATCTCAAAAGAATTTTTAAAAATACAAACAATCTAAAGGATGATGGAAAGACACATGGTGAGAGGACACAGGTTTTAGCATGTTCCCAATGATGACTCATGTACCAGAAGCAGTAAAAAATAAAAAATAAAAAAGAGATGAGCTGGTTATATAGAAAGAAAGAGAAGTAGCAAAGGGCTGTTGTGAGGGATGAAATCATACTTCTAAGGTCAAGAAACCAGAAAGAGGCCTCTGATGGACTGGGTCAACACTGTAGAGGAGTCATGAAAATACAAGGTGTCCCAAAAGTTTTGGTGCTGTTTTAAGCTATTAATAGGTTAGTAGCTTAGAAATGTAATAGCTTACAAAGTTTTAATAACTTTAAACAGCACTAAGACTTTCGGAACATCCTGTATTTTCCATGAACCCTTGAACACACTGATGCCCAATGGGAATTCCAGCTCTTGAGGGAGCCTGAGGCTAGTGGATATCTTGAGCTTGGGAGTTCTGAGCAGATCCACTGTCCACACTGAGTTAGGCATTAATATGGTGAGCCTCAAGGATTGGTGGGGCTGCCAAGATGAACTCTTGTGCTGGTGAAAGGTTAGCTCCTGGAGCTTCCCTGGAAAGTGCTCCCCTTCTTATTCTTGGAGACTAAGTCCTGCATTAGAGATAACCATTTCCTACTTCTAAGTGTACATATCTCCCTGCTGCCTGAGAGATTTTTGTAGCAAACCTCTGCTGTGTTTCAATATTACTAAGAATCTGTGATTTCATTAGTGCAGGCACTTCCTCCATTAACCTAGGTCACAACCAGGGCTCTTACTGGCTCTAGAGAAGTGATTATTAAAATTTTAATGGGAGAAATTATGCCTTGGAAATCAGCAGACACTTCAAATCAGGGATTGATTTACTGTTTTGTTAATTGTTTAGACTTAACAAAAGTGATGGGAAAATGTTAATTATGCAGATTTAACTTAAAAGTATGTGGTGCATACATGCAAACACATATAAATATATGTATATGTACATTTCCTTCTTCAGTTCATTTTACAGATGAGGAAACTGAGGCAAACAGGGTGAAGTGACTTTCCCAGGGTCACATAGCTAATAAGTATCTGAGGCCAGATTTGAGCTCAAGAAGATGAGTCTTCCTGACTCTAAGCCTGGCACTCTTATTCACTGTGACACCTAGTTGCTCACTGTACAACAGTAGTTAGGTTCTATAAAAATAGAAATTTTCCCCACAACCTGCCCCTCAGTCTCCAAGAGCAATCAAGACACTTTCTGAAGTGCCCATTATTCTTGGGGGAAAAGTTGTACACCAGAGATAACCATTTCCTACTTCTAAACATACATATCTCCCTGCTGACTGAGAGATTCTTGTTGCAAACCTCTGCCTTCAATATTACTAAGAATCTGTGATTTCATTTGTGCAGGTACTTCTTCCATTAGCTTAGGTTACAACCAGGGTGCTCTCTTGCTCACTCTCTCTCTTTCTCTCTCTCTCTCTCTCTCTCTCTCTCTCTCTCTCTCTCTCTCTCTCCATATATGTATATATATATACGTGTGTGTGTGTGTGAGTGTATGTGTGTGTGCATGTATATACATATATACATACACACAACCACATACATATACTCAGTAAGCTGGTCGTTAAACATTTATCAGCACATCACTGGCCAGAACTCATTCATACCATCCAATTCCAGGTGATTCTTGTCCATTTCTCTCCATAAATCCTCCACTGGGTCCTTCATCCAAGATGGAGGCCATCTGGTTCTTCTTGCTTCTTCTGCTATCGTACAGATACCAATACAATAACTAGGCTGTCCTTTTGTTATCCATCCGTCTTGCAACATGACTGGCCCACTTCATTTTCTGGTCATATGTGCCCCTCATGTTGTCTTTTATATAATTTTTCAGTAATGATAGCTTTCATTTATATGTCACTTAAAGGTTTACAAGACACTTTACAAATACGATCTCATTTTTTTCTCACAATAATCCTGTGAGGTGGGTGCTATCATTATCCCCACTTTACAACTGAGAAAGATGAGACAGAGAGATTAAGTGCTTTCCCCAGGGTCACAGAGTTAGTAATTGTTTGAAGCAGAGCTTGAATTCAGGTCTTCTTAACCCCAAGTCCATTGCTCTATTTACTACCTACATATCATTGCTAGTAGTAGATTTCAGTTGATAAACACCAACTGTGAATCTTTCCAGTTCCCACTGAGTCACCTGAAATTTCAGTTCTTTTGAGATTGAAGTGCTGCATGACCCATACCCATGTAACAACACCAGGTGATCATGAGAAACAACTACAATTTCATCAGTTTGGGAGACTCCTGGTGTGAGAACTTTTACCAACTCATATCAAAACTCATTTTCTTGGGAACTGTCCGAAGCTCAGAGAGAAAAAGGCACCTTTGTCAGCGTCACAATACTGCTAAGTGTTAGAGGTTGGAACACAGCTCTTCTTGACTCTAAACAGCGTTTTATCAATTATGCCTTGATTTAGCTTTATCTTCTCCTTTTTGATTCTGACCCAAGCCATAGACTAACTCAATAGGTTGCCCATTCAACTGCGTGTAATAATTGGGCAACATTGATCACCTATTTCATTTTTCCCTCTTGCATAGTTAGACAATCTATAAAACCTCCACCTTGTGGTCTTTTGATAATATTTCTTTGTCAATCACCACTCAACTAATATCTTCCTCCAATGCCTCATCTTGGCATGGAGGTTGGTCCAAGGTTCTCAAAGGCTACGCTGGTAGAGCACAACTTCTAGGAGATTCTAGCAAGATTTAGACTCTAAACTTCCGAGGAAGAGCTCATCAATGGACAGTGTATGTGTTAACTGGGGATCAGCTTAGCTGGTGCAGAAAGGCTCATCACCAGAATTTTCCACTTACAGCAGCTCTCAAAGAGTATCTGTGAAATTACAGAGGGATTGTAACTTGCAATTGGTGGAGCAGTTACCCTTACTGATTAAATCACAAATCCTTGAAGGATGGAAAAAAAACTTAAATCATCAAAATAGGTAATTAACATTTTTTTAAATATGTGTCTTTGTTTTGACTTCAGGCAAAACTTGGCATAAAATGTATTTTTGCAGCCAACTTATCAGCACCTGGTTATTATGGGAATGAAGAATAAATGGCCTGAAAGTAACAGAGTGACATGGCTTCTAAAACCATGGAAACAAAATGACTTTCCGTGGGTCACCCATTGATAGATCTGCAAGTATAGCCAAGTCTACCACACCAGGAAGATTTCCAAACATGCCTGACTGAATCCTCAGGAAACCATGATGCATATATCCCAGAATGCAAAGCCCACTTGCTGAAATGCCAGACTCCTTTCTACCCATCTTTTTTTTTTCTTTTAAGAGATTTATAAAGCATTTTAGAACCTATTTATCATGAAGAAGCTTGAGGTTAGGTATAGATTGCTGGTGCATTTTTCCCCAGTGTAATTAGGTCAAGTGCTGGAAAGTCCCCTAACAGCGGTTTGCCAAGCCAGCCTAAGTGATAAATTCTCTTCGGAATGTTCTTGTAGTCCAGTTCCCGGAGTCCTGCTCTCTTCAGCAGTTCTGAACACTATTGAAAGGAATGTATACCTAAGCAGGAGAGTGAATATTCAAGCACTCAAGGGTCTTGCAAGCACCACTTCCCTGCTTTTTTCAGAAACTCACATTTGGCACAACTGGCCTTTCTTCCAAAGAAGTAAAAGCAGGCCTGAGGCTCCTCACAGTTGAGCTGAACCTTATCACTGCTTGGAACTCCTGCCTAATTAAGTGCCTGGCAAAGTCAGATGTATATTTTACTTACTGCTTGGACCATTCTGAGTCCTGGAGATTGAATTGTTGCAATTTAAGAGCTGTATATTTTCTATTAAGTGGGCATGCTGAGGCGACGCCAGGTACTGGGAGCTGAGTGACTGGCTTGCTGGAGTTTTCAGATTCCCACTTGGGGTTCTTTAAGGTGTGCAGGCCCAAGACAGGGCCCTGAAAGCAGGCCTGGACAAAAACCTTGCTTTCAGCTTTGAGCACTTCAGAACCCAGAAAGTGGTTGATCAATTAGAAGGGGTGGAAAAGGAAGCAGCACCAATGATTAAGAGCCTGCAAATGATTTATGAGGCAAGATTAAAGTAGTTAGAGGGGTCATTTGGCTAAGGAATGACTCAGGTGAGGGAGAAGGATAAGAAGTCTATAAATATTTGTATCATGAAAAATTTTCTCACTGTGAAAACCAAAGGCTGCTGGAGCATCGTCCACAAGAAGGGCAGAGGAAGAGGGAAATGCTCTTTCTTTAAAATGTTTAAAAATAGATGAATAAAGGATTTATTACAGGAAACAATAAAGGGATGGCAAGGAAAGGTGACTAGATGACCTTTAAGGGTTTCTTTTTTTCAATTCATTTTCATAATCTGGTTCCCTCCTTATTACAAGTCATGGCAGACCTTGGGCAGAAATTCCCTCTGCACATGAGCTGGTAATTAGGCTTCCCTATCCAGAAGTTCTTAGAACAAAGACTGGAAGGGGCTCTATACCTCTGCTCTCAATTTGCAGGAGAATACAAATACTACTTTCTGCTTTTTTCTTTCTGTTTAGCTAGAAATAAGATGAGTGATACTATAAGTAACTTCATATATTCACAGAAGGAAGAAGCATTGAGATTTGTTCCTGTGAGGCTGTAAAAGCCATGGGGGCGTCCCCAGGCCCGAACAACTTCTGACCCCGTGTCAATGTTGCTGCCTCAGTTAACTGGAGTCCAAGAGGATGATCCCCAGTCAGCTCGCAGTCGAACTTCATAAACTTAAAGCTCTCTATAAATGTGAGTTATTCTTATTATTATTATTCAGAGGTAACATGATATAGTGGGTAGAGAGACCAGTGCTGGAGTTAGAGCCAGGAGGCCAAGCTTTGAGATGACTATGCTGGGGTAAGGCTTTAGACCTGAAATCCAATGGAGTTTCCCATTATAGGCTCAAGTACAGCTCACGGTACCTGCAGTTTAAGAGGTAGCATAGGAAGTAGAATAGTAGAATGCTGGACTTGGAGTCAGGAAGACCTGAGTTCAGATCCTGCCTCAGGTAGTTACTAGTATGTGACCCCTAGTCACTCATGGTGTAACTCACAAGTCTTTAATCTCTCTGTGTCTAAGGGTGCTTATTTTGATAGCCTTTAAGATTTCTTCTAACTCTAAATCTATGACCACATGAACTCCTGGGTTCATAATGCAGTGAGGCAAAGAAATCAGATATCACAATTCAGTTTCTTGCCCCTACTGCCTCAATCTCCAGGGTCCATGTTCTCCAGGGCCACAGCCCAGGCTCTGACATGCCTGAGCTAGAAGGCAAGGATGTGACCAATGGGGCCTAGTCATAGCAGGGGAAGCTACCGCAGGCTCAGTGTAAAGATGACCTGTGACCTACAGGTGGGGGCAGGGTAAAGAGCATGGCAAAAGTGAGGGAGGATGGAAGGCTGTGGACATAGTTTGTCTTTATTCTCCTCCAAGGGCAGCTATGTGTTGCAGTGGATAGAACACCTGGAGTCAGGAAGACTCGAGTCCAAATCTGGCCTCAGACACTTACTAGCTAGGTGACCCTGGGCAAGTCACTTAACCTTATTTACCTCTGTTCCTCATCTGTAAAATGAGCTAGAGAAGGAAATGCCCCCAAAAGGCCCCCAAAGAGGGTCATGAAGAGTCAGATATGACTGAAAAACAACAAAATTTGCTCTAATACGGCCTAGCTGAGTGATAGTAGATTATTTCCATATTGCAATCAAGTTGTAGGAGCCATTATTATCAATAATGCAATGTCTGACCTAGGGCAAGTCAGATCCTCTCTCTGAGCCTCGGTTTCCTCAACTATAATTTGAAGGAGTTGTATGAAATGATTTTCTAGAGTCTTTTCCTACTCGATGATTCTAAATCACAAGGAGGCAGATGCTAGGTTAATAAAAGGCAGTGCTTTTTACAATTTAGAGCCATCAAATAAGGAAAGAGGATGCCTCACAAAGTGGTGACCTCCCCATTGGCACCCCCAGTCGTGGGTGCTAGAGAAGGGCTTCAATCACTGGGTGGAACATTGTACTGGATTTTAGATTCCTTTCCATGCTATAATTCTGTGATTCTTGTATTTCATTTCTCCACTATTGGAGATGGTTCTACTCTATAAAATCAAATTGTACAGTTTAATAAACTTGTGCCTTGATTTAAAAAGGCTTCTCCAGAACTTGTGCCTAGAGCAGTAATTCTATTCAGAATCGACCATGACTGCACCTTGGAGCTCAGCACACCTTTCCAAGCCTTTAGTGTTTTTTGCATCAAAACCAGAGACAGTAAGAGGGTTGGCATCTCAAATTCTCAAATTTTATACTTTGGGATATTTATTCTTCACTTTTCTTTTGGCTAGTTTACTTTGCCTTGTGATTACTGACATCCTTCCCCCACCCAAAATATTAGGACTCTCAAAAACACCTATCAGTGCCACTAACATTTTTTGCTTCAGGCCTCTACAACCAGGACCACATCTTTGGATACAATCAATGTTAATCAATGAATCAATCAATACGCATTTATTAAATGCCCAATATGTTTCAGACTAAGCACTTGGGATACAAAAAGAGGCAAAAGACAGCCCCCTCCCTTAAAGAACTTATAATCTAATAAGGGAAACAAATATATATATATATATATATACATAATAGATAGATATAGATAGATATAGATATATAGATATATATAGGATAAATAGGAATTAATTAACAGAGGGAAGGCATTGGAAGTAAGAGGGATTGGGAAAAGCTTCCTGGAGGAGATGAGATTTTAGTTGGACTTAAAGGAAGCTAGGGAAGTCAGAAAGCAGAGCAAAGAAGGGAGGGTGTTGCAGGCATTTGGACATAGCCAGAGAAAATACATCTGCCTGGATCCAGGAGATGGAGTGTCTTGTTCTTGGAATAGCTGGGAGGCTGGTGTCAGTGGATCAAAGAGTATATGATGGAGAGTAAGGCATAAGAAGACTGGAAAGGTTGGAGGGGGCTTGGTTATGAAGGGGCCAAACAGAAATTTTGCATTTGATCCTGGAGGCAATCAGAAGCCACCGGAGTTTATTAGTAGGGATGTGACACGACTGGCTTTTGGAAAATCACTTTATTGGACTCCGTATTTTCTACTGTTGGTTTTCCACTTACTTAGCAAGGAAAAATGACTCCCTGCTGTTCTTAACCAGATCTATGGAAAATGGGAGGCCCTCAAGAGATTGCTCATCTACTCTAAATAGACTACTCACTTCCTGGGCTTCGTACAAGTTCTGGGTTAATTTGGGCAAATTTGGGATTGACGCATTACATGGAAGCTGGTGGCCCTATGAAATGTGAAGATGCTTCAAAGAGAACTTTTGATTTTCAAGTGCCACTATTTGGCCAGGGTCAGACTAGATGGTATGGATCATTTTCCAATGCAATTTATGCCAGAGCTACATGCGTGTTGGTGCCCCTATTCTTGTAAGTGTAGCTTGCTTTGAAAAAACCTGATATAGAAGAAAATAAATTGTGATTACAAAATGAATCTTTCTATTACTAAAGGTTTTGCTCAGGCTCCCATTGAAGAAGATCATAGCATCACAAACCTGGAATCAAAAAGAGCCTCAGAATTAAGAATTGTGGGGAACACTTCTCTCAAGATGGTAGAATCCAAAGACACTGATGGCTGCTTCACACATTTATCTACCATATCCACACCCTGAGCCAGGGCACCTCTCAAAAAGGGAATTAATGTTTGTAGATGTCGGGAATGCTTTGGCTTTGCTAGAATTCAAGTCATCAGAGAATGCTCCTAAGAAGTACACTATCAAGTGAATTTTTGCAACCAACCACTTTGCCTGTTGACTCATGTTAGGACTTTCTGTTTTCCTTCATGATGGAGTTGACCTGGAAGTACTTTACCAAATATAATCTCCTCACCCCTTTCATTATCAAGTAGTCAGAACCCTCTAAACGATGACTGCTAACATTAAGGGCCAGCACTTAGCACAGTGCCTGATACATAGTTGTTTTTCAGTCACGTCGGACTTTTTGTGACCCCATGGACCATAGCACGTCAATACTGTTTCTTTCTGAAGATACTGGAGTAGTTTGCCATTTCCTTCTCCAGGAGATTAAGTCAAACAGAGGTTAAGTGACTTGGCCAGGATCACAAAGCTAATAAGTATCTGAGGTTGGATTTGAACTTAGGTCTTTCTGACTCCAGGCCCAGTTCTGTATTCACTGACCTACCCAGGTGCCTCCTGGCACATAGTAGGAATTTAACAAATATTTATTGACTGACTGACTATGGTTTTACAGGCATCAAGCAGCATGATAATCATGGTGGCTTCATGGTGATTGACTGTATAAGGTAGACACCAAGCAGATATTATTATGTTTGTTGTGTTAATGATGAAACTGTGGCACAGAGATAGTAAGGGTCTTGTTCAAGGTCATGGAGCTAGTAGCTTGAACCCAGATGTCTCCCAGCTTCAAAGTCAACATTCCTTCCACTACACCTTCTGGCTTCTCTAAATGAGAACAAGCACACTCTGCCAAAGACTGATTGATGAGGTCATTATTCACTTCTGTTAAAAAAAAAAACAAACGACCACATTGTTGGCAAAACAATGCCGTGATGGGGTCAGTTAATGCCATAAGGGAATTGTTTAAAATGTTCTAAGTGAGTGATGGGTAAAACCATGCTATATGGTCATACTATGTTAAAGATATGATCACAAAAAGATATTGCTTAAGGTGACTTTGCATAAGATAAGTATATACTTATAGGCACTATAAGAAGGGAAGGTATTTTGGGGCAAATCATTTAAGCCTCAGTTTTCTCATCTATAAAATGAGGAGGTTGGATTAGGTGGCGTCAGGTCCCTTCCAGCTCTAGTTCTGGGATTTTATCTGTTATTGTTGTTGTCCAGTCTGGGACAACTCTTTGCGACCCCCTTTGGGGTTTTCATGGCAAAGATATTGGAGTGGTTTTCCATTTCTGTCTTCAGCTCATTTTACAGGTGAGGAAACTGAGGCAAATAGGGTAAAGTGATTTGCCCAGGGTCATACAGCTAGTAAGTATCTGAGGCTGGGTTTGAACTCAGGTCTTCCTAACTTCAGACCTGGTGCTCTGTCCACTGTGCCATTTAGCTACCTGGACAGTCCTCTTTAAAGGGAAGCCTGGGTGGAAGTTTTTCCATGGAGATTCATTTTGTAATGAATTTATTCTTCTCTCAATCAGGTTTTCTCAAAGCAAGCTATACTTCATAGCTTGGCTAGATCATAGAGTACAGGAGGGATAGATGGTGCAACTAGAAAGATTGGTTTGGGACAGATTGTGAAGGATTTTGAAAACCAAGCCAAGAAGTTTCTTTTTTCATCCTAAAGATAATAGAGAACCATTGGAGTCTGGTGAGTAAAATAGGGGCATGGTCAGATTTGCACTTAACCAAGATGACTTTGACCACAGACTATAAGATGGACTGGAATGGCAAGAGACCTAAGTCAAGAAGACTAATCAGAAGCTATTTCAATGAATCTAAGTCGGAAGTGGTGAGGGCCAGAATAGGTGGCAAAGAGAATGGGGGCGGGGAGGATGCCAGAGATTTGTGGAAATCAAAACGGCAAGATTTGACAACTGACTGGACATAGGGGGTGAGGAGTAAGGAGTGGGGGAATGACACCCATTGAGATTATGAACCTGAGAGCCTGGTAGTGCCTTTGACAGAAATAGGGAAGTTAATGGGGAAAGATACTGAGTTCTCTTTTGGATATGTTGAATTTGGGATGTCTCCAGGACCT